GGGGCGAGAGAGAGAGGAGGGCTGCTCCCAAGAGAACTTTAATTACGTTGCAGGTGTGGAAAAAGTGGCTCCGCTTCGAGGTCGCCCAGCAGCAGCCCGGCTCTTCGCACGTTCCTGCCGGCCTCTTGCAACACCTACCCGAGCGGGGCGCTGGAACCGTCCGCCAAGCAGGGGTGGGGGTAGGGGCGGAGAGGGCCGGCTGGGTGCCCGACTGGCGGCTTCCCTCCCAAGGAGAGAGAGAGAGAGAGAGGGATCGCGGGTCTAAAAGGAGTCGCGGTGGCCGGGAGCGCTGCGAGGAACAATCTCGGCCGATTCGCGCGGCAGCCGAGAAAAGCGCCTTGCTGAAGTTGCTGAAAGTAAAAGGCGGCTCTGCGAAGCTGCCCGAAAAACTTTTCCCGACGGCCGTTTTCTTCCGCGCGCTCAGAGAGACCCACGCCGCCGCTGTACACGCGTTCTCCCGCCCAGCCCCCCGAAAGACCAGGGGCTGCGTTGCTCTCGGCTCGCTCTTCCCCCACCCTGCCAGCGAGCCTGGACTTCACCGCGGCAAGATGCCGGTGCTTGGACACCGCTGTTTCCCCCGTCCTGGTGGCTTAACCCTACTTGAGCCAGTTAAACAAACTCCTCTCGCAGACGCTTCTCGAGCAGGGGAAAATACGGGAGGCTGGGGTGGAGGGAGGAAACCGATCCAAACTCTCCCTTCCCCCTTCTTTCTTTTTTATGGAGTCAATGGTCCAGTAAGTCCCTATCTGAGCATAGTACCTAAGAGACAGCAGCTCCTAGTGAGGCAGGGTAAACACTCGGAGCTGGATCGGTTCAGACGACCCTGTTTCAGCCAACGGCTCAGAGCAGCTGCCTTCACTTGAGGGGGAAGGATCGAGCCTCGGCAGCCTTTGGAAAAACGTTTAGCTCGTCGGTTCCCCCACTTCAGGAGTAGGGAAGTACGTACTTAATAACAGCAGAACTCTCATTTGGTCCCACTAAAAATATCATAGATGTGTGATTTAAAATAATTACGTTATTAGCTTCCAAGGGCCGTGCATGGGAGGGGTGAAATCTTCCGAAGTACTGCAAAACCCTGCACCGCGGTGGGATGAGGGACATCCGGGCTCTATTCCCGACAGTTTTGTGGCTGCCCCCCCCCCTCAGTGTGCAAATAAAGTGTGCAAAATCGGAGAATGAGTGCAGGCATCATTCAGTCCAGACTCCAGCTGCTCTCCGAGGAATACTGCGACCACGTTAAACGCTTATGCTAATTATATTGACGTTTCGGCCCTTCTGCAACAATCTATCCCATTGCCACCGCCTCCAAGACGCTGGGGCGGAGGAGAAAGAGAGGGTCCAAGGTGCAAAGTCACGCAGAGCTTAATGGCTAAATCAGAGGTCCGGGAAGTCAGAACGGGCCACTTGAAAGCCCGTCTCCCTTTAATCCGAGTAAAAGACGGATAAATATTGAGAATTAGCGCTCTGCCCATGCGCCAAGGAATTCTCTACTCATATTTCCTAGAGAGGAAAACGCCCGGGCATCTGCTACTGCAGAGGGGCCTAAGACGGTCTTTCCGGCGCTCTGGTGTCAAGTTGCAGAGGGCGGCTTGGTTTAGCAAGGCGCGAAACTTCCATGTCGGTTTCTCCCACCTGGGCCTGCGCCGGATCCTGGCAGAAGCCGGGCGGCAGGGAATGTGACGTGCAACCGTGTTCCCCTGGCAACTGCGCCCTCCTGCCATTTCCTAACACCCGCAGCCACCCAGCTTTCTGCTCCGGTAGCCTGGCTAACGAAAAGCGGACGCAGGAAAGGAGGCGGCCTTTTTCCAGGGGCCCCTGGCTTCACCGGGAGGCCTTGAAGGCCCCCATTCCCAGTTGCGCCCTCTTTCTTCCTGACAAGTGACCGGGGGTGGGGGGAGGAGGAGGAGGAGGAGGCGTAGCATCCCCCAAGAGGGCGCTCCCGTCTGGCCGCTGAAGTGGCTGTCTAGAATTCCGTCGGGGTCGCGCCACGCTGCCTACTTCGAGAAAGGCTGTTGTGCACTTCTCCCACGCCCAAAGAAATCAGAAACGTTGGGCGTCAAAGCTGACTCCCCTCTGGAGAGCCGACGGGAATTCCTGGTCTGAGGGCATCCGTTATCATGGTGTAGAGAGAGACGCTGCTTAAAGACTGGTTCAGAAGGGCGCATCTTCCGCTTCCGTTAACAGGACTTCTTTTCTCTCCCCTGGTGAAAACAAATCCCTGCCTTGAGCTTTAGACGGGGAGTGTGAAATATTGCCTCTTACCTTCCTTTCCGCGACCATTGTTTATATAAGTAATCATTTTCGCCTCCCAAACCGAATAATTCGTTTAATTATAAAATTACAATTAAAAAAAATAACAATTGAGAATAAAATAACCAGTTATTGAAAATAAAAATTTGTCCCAAACTTCAGTACATTTCAGGAGTGGGAAAAATGGAACAACTCTATAACAGTGATATATATTGCACTGTTAGAACAGTTGTCTCACCGATGAGAGCAAAAAATAGTTAACATTAATATCTATGCTGATTTAACCTAGAACTAGATTTCATCTGAATCTAAATTAACCCAGATAAAAATTTCTCTTTCTTAGAATAAAAAAAAAATGAAACTCAAAAGTTTTCAAAAAGAAGGGAAACCTAGTATTATTCTGGCTTGGGAGTATTAGCATAACTTTTCCCTTTTCCCTATCTTCTGATAGGATAGATTGCATTTTAACTCCTGCCTCCTTTATGTTTGATGGTTTTAGCCAACTCTGCTTTTTAGGAAGAAAAAAAGTATGTATTTCCAGGTATAATATGGGTGCATTCAATACAAAGATAAAGATAAGATTTTTTTAATTTAAAAATGCGATTAAGTCTCTTGTTTTCTTTTCCAACAGTTGAATCTTACACTTAAACTCAAATTTTAAACAATTTAGGCTGAGGCTGAATTATATAGGCTGAATTATAGATTAATTCTAGTGGGGGTTTGCCACATAAAAAGTGCGACCTGGTCAAAGACCTTTTGGATTTTTTTTAGTGTGAACACAAAGGTATTGTGAAGAGTCATCACAGATGTCAGTGGAAATGATTTGTAGTCTTAATATGGTGAGCACCGAAATGGTAGTGGAATTAACAGCGATCCCTCCTCACCGCTTACCAAATCCTAAACGTCCTTTGAATTGCCTTCGATATCATAGCAGAAGGTATTTCTAATCATTCGGTTTCACTAGCTAATAGATTCCGCTTTTGCTCTTGACATTTATGTTCAGCCTAGAGTGACAGGGTTACAACAATCTCTAAATTCCATAAATATTCACTTCCCAGAAACTCTTGCCAAGCGACCAGATGAAGAAAAGGGGCCAAGACAATTGCGCGCGCGCGAGGATTTACAGAAAGTCACGGCCAGCGCCCCTCTAGCATCTCTCGGTCCGGCCCATTTGCCCCATGACGGAGAGAGGGAGCGATTGGAAGCAATTAAGAGGGAAACATTTCCGCCCAACTACAGGGGGCCCTTTATTTTCTTCTCCGGTCTCGGAAGAAGGTTCGCGCTGGTTCACTTTTTCGGCTTTGGCAGAAAGAGCCAGGAGAGGTGGCCGATCACACCGTTTTCCCTGCGCCTGTGACCCATCAAAGTTTTGGTTGGACGCCAATCCAATTACAGACATTAAAAAGCAGCTCAGGGAGATTCAGTGCAGCGGGCCAACTCCCCCTTCGCCGCCGCTCTTGGAAGTAACAGAGATCTGCCCCTTTCCTACCCAAGCGAAGGCCAACAGAGAAGCTCAGCTAATGGGAAGGCAGCCCCCGCCTCTTCCTTACCCCACATCTCCCCAGGAAGCATAACAGAGACAGGGGCTTTCGTCAGTTTGAATTTTATTATCGGGATATGTAGATAAAGGGTAGGATTTGCCTTACATGTCAACAGGTGACTGTTGGATTAACGGAGTAAATTATCAACTTTACATTTTGTCCTCTCTCTGTCTTCCCTTCCCTCCCCAAGAGCCAACCGGGCCAAGAACCTGTCCGGAGACCCGCAGCCAGGAATTGAGACGGGTCCAGACGATGCTGTACTGGCGAACCCGGGATGCTATGCCACCACCTCGCTTCAATTGGCAGAGCATGCCTTCCGCTGCCCACCCACACCTGCCGCCCCCTCCCCTGCACTTCTCCCGAGCACGTCGCCCCTGCTTCCCTTTTCCAACTCCGCCGGGCAATCGCTTTCCCCCTCCCCCCCAAGGCAAGAGAAGGCTAGGGGAGAAGGGGGGCTTCCTTCCACTTCCGACCTGCAGAGCCTCCAGCGTTCGCCTTCAGCTCCTTCGTTAAAAAGGGTCGCTGGGATGGATCTCGCTAAACCCTGTATGTACATTCCTACCGCTTTTTTGCTTTGCAACATAAACCTACAGAGGGGACTTGGCGGGGCGGGGGCGGGGGTCCTCGAGTGAGATGGGGAAGGGCGGTGTGAAGATCTATACACGAAGTCTGCTGTCGGCCAGAAAGCAAAAGGCGCGTTCTGTTCTCCCGTCTTTCCATGCACACGAGCGAGCGAGCGAGCGTCACAAAGCTAGCCGGCTGGGCAAAAGGACTGGTTGGAAGGAGAAGGGTGGATCTCCATTGAAAGTCCTCTTCTGCTTCAGAAAAAAATAAAAATAGGATCCTGAACATAATCCCAGGGAGCGAATAAATAACACGTCAGGAGTCAACTCAGCGGGGCAAGAAGCGGCACGTCCAGGAAGGGCAAGCAGGTCTGACCCAGCAGCCTTCAGCCCAGATTCGCTGTCGGGGAAGGGGCTGAAAGCGCTCGGCTATTCAAACGGGGGCTCACCGCGTCTTTCCTTTCTTGGAACAAATTCAAAGGCTGCTTTCATCAGCTGGTCAAACACGCGGAAGAGCAAAGGCCGGTGCGGGTGAGCCGAGACGGAGGGCATTATTTGCGACGAAGAAAGAGGTCGCCGTCCCGAGGAACCGAGAAGAAAGTGGGCGCTACGGGAGGGGGGGAGGCGGCGGGCGCCGAGGCCAACCTCACAGGACTTGGAAGCGCCAGGAGGCCTGGTCTTTGTAGTCGAGGCAGTCCGGGGAGTTGAAGTTAAGCTTCCAGGAGGAGGCGGCGGTCGGGGCCGCCTCTTTGTAGTCCAGACAGTCGGAGGAGTTGAAGGCCAGCCCGGGGCCGCCGTAGCCAGGCTGGTGGTGGTGGTGATGGTGATGATGGTGGTGGTGGTTGGAGCTCTGGCCGAGCGGGTGGTGGGTGTGGGGATGGGCGCCCGCTAGGGACGAGGGCGCGATCGGGCTGAGCTGGTGAGCGTGCGGGGGCGCGTGCATGGGCAGGTAGGACCCGCAGTCCACCCCGCTGAAGTAGGACGAGGAGTGCGGCGGCGGCGGAGGCGGCGCCGGGTAGCCTTGGCCGTAGCCGCCGCCTTGCCCGTACGACATCGGGTAAGAGGCGGACGAAGCGCCGGAGACGGAGCGCTGCATACAAGAGGCCCCGCTGGACGCCAGGGGCTCCGGCCCCGCGCTGGGCGAGATGGACGCGGGGCTCCAGATGGACGAGGCCGCCACGGCCGACGGCGCGCTACTCAGCGAGGCAGCCGACGAGGCCGATCCTGACGCTGCGCCCGCCGAGTTGCTCAAGGCCGCTCCGCCCGGCGCCGGGCCCGAAGAGTTGGAGCTGGACGAAGAAGACGAGGCCGAACTAGAGACGGCGGGAGGCGTGAACTGGCCGCTGCTTTCGGAGCCGGAGCTCTCCCGCGCTGGAGAAGACTTCTTCTTGGCCGGCCGGCTCTTGGCGCCGCTTCCGCTCTGTTGCTGCTGCCGGCACTTGGCGCGGCGGTTCTTGAACCAGACCTGCGAAGAGAGGCAAAGGCAGCGCTCCGTGAGACCCTGTTCTCCCAGGAGAGGACCTGAAGGGAGGAGGAAGGCCCAATCTGACCTCCCCTGCTCCGCCCCACGGTTCGATCTACGACCAACTCTCCTGCCGCTTCCATCCCTTCTCCTCCATTCCCGCCTTTCACTGAATTCCTCTACCTTCGCCCTCGACGCCAAACAGATCAGGACTACTCGGGGACTCTAGACCGAAAAAGAGAGTTTTCAGCCTCGTTCCAGTCCCTTCCCTGACCCTACCTGCCACGACTTCCCTCCTTCTCAGGAAGGAAAGCCACCAAGTCTGGCTTAGCACATCCCAAATAGCTACAGGTGGGACCGCCAAGAGCATATTCAGAGGATGGGTCCAGCAGAAGAGAAGCCAAGCGATCAAGGATGGATGCCGCATCCCTGATGCAGGCAATTGTATCCTAGAAAACACACACACAACACTGATTGCCCATTGGCAGAATGTCCACCTCTCTCTGACCACTGGCCATGAATCCTACTGGCTGTATCACCACTGTATTTGCCAATTTCCAAAACTTTATTAATAATTCCTCATAAATCAGAGTAACCCAGTAACTCAGTAACCCCATCTTGAAGGGAGGCTTCTATATTCTTTCTTAGCATCCCACCCTTGACTAATCAACTTTGTTTGGAACTTATAAATGTATCTGAATCTTTACCACTAAGGCCTTCCTGTCCTTTTTGCTATTAATACTGTATTACAATGGGAGGGGCTGAGGGAAGGGTGAAGGGGAGAACATTCCTAACAAATACATGTCCCTTCTCTGGATCTATGTACATAGAAAGTGCGTATAGGAGGAAGCTAAGATTAGATATTAGTTGATTCCTTAGTAAAAGAATCCAAACAGGACAAGATTAACTACAGAATTTACATGCTATTATCTTCCCAAGTCTACACAGACAGGAAACTATTGATGATCAAGATCTCAGATCCATTGTTTCCATCACAGTAGCCAGCTTAAATTTGCCCAAAGCTGTCAGTAAATTATAGTGCTCCTCACCTGTCCTGTACCAATTAGTGTTAATATTTTAAGATGCCTTGCATTAGAAAATTGAAGGTGCATTTATATCAGAGGTTAGAATGTTCAGTATCCTCACCAAATACTCTCATATGCCATTTTACCTATTTTCTAGGCTACTTTTTGTTATGTTGAAGCCATTCACCTGTAGCATTCAGCTCTAAGCAGCATCATCCCTTGCATTCAATGGAGCAAGATGGAATTTTGATTCTTAATATCATTAATTTATTCTCTTTGTTCATCAACATTTTATATTCCAAACCAATCAACAGCTACCTCCACTTCCAAGAGAATGGGGATGATATCCCTTGTCAAATTCAACCACACTTCTTCTACAAGTCACACCTGCCACACCATTCCAAATAAACAAAATTCATGAATCCTACCTCCAAACTCCTAATAGTCAATGTTAAGACTAGTTTATGGAAAAGATAGGTGAAATTTGTCAATTAAAAGTCAGAAAGGGTGGGCAAACCAAATTGTTCATCTAAGGTTAAGATTCATATGTCTGCTCTACTAGTCTACTTTACTTCCTGAGAGAGTTCTCATTAATATGAAAATCATCTTGCAATTTTTTTAACAACCATATTGTTGCTGGAGTACAGCATCCAGAGTTTTATGTACCTCTGTTAATATTCTATTGCATTAAACTGTAACAAAGTATTTTATATCTATTTCTTCAAAGAAAGAAGATCTGAGGCAGAGTCATAATGAACAATACTTACACATACTTACACAGTATATGTTTAATGTTGCCACTAATGCAACAACCATAGCAAAGGTACTGTTACATTCATCACTTGCATGATTCAACCCTTTTTTATATAACCTCAAGAAAGATAGGGCACCCATCTCTCATTCAGATTATACACAAGTCAAATTCATATAATATTTTACAACCTTCCTCACCAGAGATTTACCCCACCCAAAAGCAGACTAGCCAACAGGTAAACGGGAGTTCACTGAACCAATTCAAGTCCCTAAATATTTAGTCCAGAATCCAAGCATCTAGTAATTCCATAGGTCTAATGTGTAGGCACCCACAAACTGCTGTTTCCATTGTTTAAAAAAGTTAAATATTTAATTTCTGCAATCTTTCACAACTTTCAAAAGTAGAACATTCTTGAGTAGTTAATAGCAATAGCCTAAAAATGCCAGAAAATTTTAATGTGTTAATTTTGACAAAATAACCAATCATTTCCCAAAGCATTGCTTATGATCTTAAGGCTACTTCAGGTTTTGAAAATGTTCTCTATACATCACTTTTCATAGCTCAGATGGGTAATGATTGCATGTGAAATCTGCCCTGCTTTATTTGACTCAACCATTCATATACATATTGAAATCATCATTGTATGATTTACTTGCAATTTCAGTTCTTTCCCCTCCCTTTAAATGCTTTCATTTCATGGTTTCAAATTGCCCTCAGTGAGAAATAGGACACACAGCAAACAAACAGGAAGGATCCAGCTTGCATGGCAAAGGTGTGATTGTACTTTAATTATACACTTATTTACATCCTAAAGAGATAGTTTGTGCCTATCATTCTGTCCAAATTTGAGTTTCAAATCAACAACTGGGATTCAATTCTACTGGAGTGGAATAAATTGTTGCTGGGGGCAGGGGAAAGAAGAGGAGACAAATTTAAAAAGCCTCACATAAAGGAGCAAGGGTAAGACTCCAAATCTTAATCACAAGTTTGTTCACTTTAAAACTCCTAATTAAACCACCAATCAGAGGGCTGGAAATACATGAGAAGCTTTCAATATAACTCCTATGTTTAAAAAGAAAAACTTTTAAATTGATGAAATCAATTTGATTTCATGTTTAAGAAATGTGGTATTTAACCAATATATATTTGAATAAGTCGCAGTAGAATTTATTTCCAGATAAACAAGTGTGGATAATGTTACAAGTGCATTAAGGATTAGGATGTCCAATTATTTTAAAGTTGCTTATGCAGTCGTAAAATGCTTATGTAGAATGTAAAATGCTTAATCTTACACATAAAATAATTAAAGATAAATAAATTAACCTTTCTTCCACTATTTGTGCACCATATGTGCTACATCCAGTATCCTAAGTTTTATGTAGACACACTCAAGATGAGATGAGAAAAAAAAAATCCTATTGATTGCCATGGAAATTAGTGAAAACTGACTTGTGTTGGAGTGTATCCATTGACAGTGTTTAGGGTGTGGCCTTAACATTGATTGGAGAAGAGGGGAAAATAAGTATCTGTAAAGTATTGATTCCTCTAAAGTGATAAGGGAGCTAAGGGAAGTTGCCAGATTCAATAAACCGAGAAAGATCTTCAGCGCCCTTCTGCCATTCCAGCACTGGGCCTGTCGATCCTTGCACAATTAACTATTCCGCCTGAGCGAAGAAGAGTAATTTATCCCAATAAATACCAGTCCTAAAGCAAATGTCAGAATGGTCCCTGGATCAGATTGAGACTAGAAAGGACCCCGAACCAGAAGAATCTTTAAAGTAAAAGGAACCGTCCACATCCCTTCTTTACTTGAGTTTGGAACAAGCGGTAGGCGAACGTGCCCCAACGACCCCCTTCCTGCAGACAAAGGCCCCCGGTCCCCCCAGTCCCAGAAACGCTCTTTAAAAGCCCCCAGACCTGGACTCTGGATTCCGGGAGGTTGATTTTCAGGGCCACCTCTTCTCGCATGAATATATCTGGGTAGCGGGTTTTGGCAAAAAGCGCTTCCAACACGTCCAGCTGCGATCGGGTGAAGGTGGTACGTTCTCGCCGCTGCTTCCGAGGGGTGGCTGAAGGGTCCCGAAGCCACACGAGACAAGGAAGGCAGGCAGGAAGGAAAGAAGACAGAAAGATAAGAGGCAATCAGACCTTCTCTCTCTCTCTCTCTCGCTTGCTCTCCCCTCCCCGCCCCCCGCCCCGCTGCCCCGATTCAGGAGGGGGAGGCGAGACAACCAGGCTCGCTAGTTCCCACGCCCACCAATCCCTTGACGCAGGCGGGTCGCCAGCCGTGGAGAGACCCAGTTGCCCATAGATTTCTATAAAACGGGCCGGCCGATCCCACGAGGGAACCTGGGGGTTGGGGGGGGGATTGTGCACTCGCCGAGCCAGGAGCAAAAAAAACAAAAAACAACCAAAAACCTGATTATGTTTCTAGCCTATAAATATGAATCACATAAAATAGTACAAAAGAGGAAAGGAAGTTGCCTCCATTCAACTTTGCGAAAGAAGGCGGGCTGGCAGGCAGCTGGGCCTTGGGCGAAAGAGGACTTCGCAGCTCGCCAGATAACACGGCAGTTAAAGGGAAGCTCGACGTTTCAATACCTTGCATATTATTGCCATATTTGAAAACCTTAACTCGGAGGTAAATTCCCCCAAAGCCTGTAGTAAAGTACGTCCAAGCTAGGCTGTACTTGTAAGCGTACTTAATGTAACTGGCCTAATTATGAGCGTTATAGGCTCAGGTTACAACGCTTCAGACGGGAATAAATTCTAGCGAAACCAGTCCAGTTTACTACTGATCTAAGCGAGCTGCTTGCCTTACAAGTCAGGATGTTGGCGCTTTACACCTTTCACAACCATAAGGATATGAAGCATTCCCTTGAATTAGTTAGCACTAACCTGATTTGTCATCAGACCACAAACGATTGCAAAACCCGTGCTCGGATTTCTTGGCCACCGAGCTAATGGAAGTGGGGGGAAATGTGAATGTAGACCCTCTCAATTGTAAAACCTTTCCTTCAGGACAAGTTTTTGAGTAGGAAATTTTGAAACTGGGGCAGCCCTCCATACCTTCTGCTTTCAGACCTTTTGAGCACCACTTTCTTTACCCTGGGTCTTCACTTACAACTATACTTTGGAAAATCAACCCTCACAGAAGTTTCACTTTCTTTTAAAGACCCGTTTATCAAACAGCCTCCCTGCCTTGAGTCTGTTCTTTTTAAACAACCACATACTTGTTCTGTGTTTGGGATATCTGGTTACCGTATCTATCTGAATGTAAAAGCAAAACAAGGTAGAAATCAGGAATATGAAATCACCTCCATTATGAAAACTTAGATTAATGTTTTAGTAAAGTCCTTTCCATTTTTAATAGACTTATTTTCATCCAAAGTATTCAAAGATTGTTAAGAAACACTCAATTACTGAACTCAAACATTAGTGCAGTTTCCAAGAATGGAAGAGCAGGAAGGGAGAGAATTCCTTTCTTAATGCCTGTTTTGTAGGGCAAAACAGAGGAATTGGCAGATTTGTTTCTTTTTTCAAACTTTGTGGAATGACCTGAGTGTGTCTGCTCAATGGAGAAGAGGGGATGGAAGGGGGAAGGGGATGGAAGGGGAGAGGGGATGAAAAGGGGGAGGGGAGCTCACCTGGATACCCCACTGAAGGGTGTAGAAGATCCATTGCCGGTCCTGCTAGCCCCAGCCCATTCATGCCATAGGGGGGCTGTTTGAGGTAAGACATCATACTAAAAGCTGGAAATATTTTTTCCAATTTATCCACACACACTTATGTATTTGTTTCTTTAGCAGTTTTTCAAACAGCGTGTGTATATGTTTTATTCTTTTTTTAAATATTCATCCAACCAACAACTGAAAGGAATCCCACAAGGCAGCAGAGTTTTTCACAGCACTCTAGAAGAAAAACAACAAAATTAACATATAGTGAATTGATAATGCGATATAATTTTTAAATTGAATTCCCAGGTAGTGCAAAGTTAAATGTTCAGCAAAACAAAACAGTTCTTTTTGTACATATCAGTAAAAAAAAGCAATAATTTTATATGTAGTTAGGTGGATCTTAATATTAAAAAGGCAACTTAATTTCTATATCAAGTACAATAAAGTTTTTGTTTTTGCTTCACTTTCTGTCTTACTTAAAGGTTTCTTCTTTAACACAGAAACTCTCTGAAAATGGCGGATAATTCCTCCCCCTTTCCCGAGGAAAATGGCAAAGAGTAAAGTGTAGTAGGGTAGAGATAAGGGAACTGAGATTATTATTATTATTATTTTAAATCTACACCACATTACCATACAATCGCCAAGGGGCTGTGAGGGGGTACCATATCAATGATGAGAGCGATAAAGCAATTATTTAAAAAGATAATTGGATTAGAAATCAAAACGAGGTAACAAAAGGAGGGAACTATAATTAATTTAAAAGAGAGGAGAAACAGACACATTAATTAGAAATGGCTAATGATCTAAAAAAAAGACCGCTTTGGCAGGGAGGGGGGGGGCAGCTTTGAAATCCCTATTCTAAAAGACCTGCAACAACAGGCAGAAGGAGGCAGAGGATATCTGAGACACTCAAAGTTTACAGATTCCCTCACATCATGCTCAAGAATTTATTTCTAGGAGTATGGGGGTGGGGAGTATAGGGTGAAGGTACACTCTCAAATGGGCACATTTAGAAATAAAGCTAAAGTAAACGAATGATTCTGACTTCCAAATAAAAGTCCCCGATAAAGAACATGATGCATTGCGGGAGTGCGGCTGTTGTTTTAACTGTATAAACCTTCAAGTTTTTTTTTTAACTTCTCCATATGATTTACTTCCAAGAGTTACAGAACAGACTTGAGGATCTTGGTGGGCTAGCATTCCAAAACAGAAAGTAATTTTTATGTTAAATTCCCGTGTTCTGATCTAGAAGTTTTTCTTTTCTAAGTAGTTTCAATAAAGTAAATGCCCGAACTAAACATCAGACCAACCAACCAGGTACATAAAAACCCACATCCAGAAAGCACAGTTGGTGGCAGAATTAATCTCAATTAATCCATAGCCAAAAAATTTATATAGGGAGCAGGCCTGGCTACTACCAATATGGTATTTTCACACAGAAAGATTCACACCAAGAATTAAAAAGAAAGGGGGGGGGAAAGGAAGGGGCTGCAAAGTGGGCCTTGAACTAATATTAATCTATTGATGCTAGGCTATTAAGTTAAAATATCCCAAATTCATTAAAAAAAACCAAGCCATATTACCAGGACTGGCTAACCTGTTGCAGCTCTCTCCAAGTTGAGATTTCATTTAGAGTTCTGCCTGGATTTGTGAGGTGAGGTTTTTTTTAACCTCTCTCTCTCTCTGTGCTCACAATTAAAAGTTCAAAACCGGCCCATCTGGTTTACCTAAGCAGCATAGGATAAGTAAGGTTGCTGAAGCACAGGTATACTTACTCAACAGTCATTGCTTTTTAAGACCAGGGGGGATTTCTTTGTCAGGAGACATTATTCAGATTGGGCGGTGGGCTGCAAGCAAGGGGAAAAGTTGGTTTTCTGTTTTGTTTTGGAGCCTTTTTCCAAGCTTATCTGCAAATTTACTTTCAAAGGAGCTTGTATCTCTCTGAACACTTAGATGTCTTCCTTTATTCCTTAAAACTCCCTTCCACATTTACTCCTATCAAGCAGCCTTTTCTTTAGGTGCAAAGGTTTTAAGAATAGATAAACTGTGATTGGCCTAGGAAGTTAAGAAATTAAATCCTGCTGGCATCTTGAACAAAAAGTCAACGGAGCCCGGGGTAGGCCTGACCAAGACGGCAGCTGGGCCACGCAAATTAAGGGCTGAGCTCGCATCTCCAAAAGTCAAGTTCAGGGAGATTTGTCCCCGGCGGGTCGCGCACAAGGTTGCAGCCTGAGTCTCCCTGCTTGAAGAGAGAAGAAAAGGGGCCGCCAATCTCAAGCGAGGAAGAAGCGGACTCGAAATCGCCCGTTCCAAGCCCCTTTCCTTGGATCTCAGCCCCATCTCATCCCCTCCAAGAACCCAGTCCCGATCACCAACAGGGCACTGACGGGACTGGACTCTTCCGCCCTCCCCATTCCTTTGGCCGTCGATTATTGTTGGGTTGGGTGACACCCGGCCGTTGCTCAATGGAGAAAGGCAGGAGAAGTGCCAAACAGTGGGAAAGAACAAGGTGTCTCCAGGTAGCTCGGGATTCGCTGGTCACGGCAAGCATCGGTGGAAGGCGCCAGCCTGGAAGAGCCGGCCAAGGGTCTGGGGGGGGGGGGGGGGGGGGGGAGGGAGAGAGACCCAGCCAAGCAAAGCCATTCGCCTTCAGATCCAGCAGTAAAGCCACCCTAACTTCGCCCTTCGGGGGTCCGCCGTTGGCCGACTTCCAGGTGCCTCCGTCAGCCGATGGGCCAGAAAAGCGACGGCGGAACGCCGCCGGTGGCGTGCAGATGGGGGTGGAGAGGGCACGGACGGGCAGAGGACCCCAGAGCTTGGGGCGCTTCCCTCGGGAGGCGGCCAGCTCTGTTCCTCCCGAGGGGCGCGCGGATCCCGGCCCCTCCGACGGAGCTCGCCCCTTGCGCGGAGAAGCCGCGCGCGTGGGTGGGTGGTGTGGGGGAAGAAGAGCATCAAACGCGGTACGAGCCTGGCAAGGAAGAGCCGGAGGAGAAAGAAGGCAGCTGCCGAAAGCCAGGCGGCTCCTCTCTTGCTTACCTGCCGAACATTCCCCGTTTGGAAGCGGAGGAGCGGGAAAGCCGCGGCGGGGCGGGAGGGCGAGCAGGGGGTTGGGAAATCCCCCTCGGCACCCCCAAGGCCCCTTTCCCAGGCAGAAGCTGCAAAGCGAAGGACAAGAGAAGTTAGGAGGGAAAGTTTTTGGTGCGAGTTGCTTTCCACCTCCGACTTCCCCCTCCCCGCCTCCTCTCCGCTCAGGCGTCGCTGAGCCAAACCAGCGGCAGGAAGAAAAGAAGAAGAAAAAGAAGAGAAAACTTGAGGGCTCTCGAAGACTTTGCAGCCCTTGGCAGAACTCCTTGGCGCGGACCTAAAGCTCCCGAGGAGCTGGGAGGCGAGCAAAGGTGGCGGGGGCGGAGGGCGAGAAGGGAGCGGGGATGGGCTTCTGGGCTCGAGTGCGGTGTCGGGACGGCCCGGGGAAAGGCAGGGAAAGTGAGAGCTCACCTGCGGGGGGAGGGGGAGTGAAATAAATCAAGCGCCTTTTTACCTTGTCGCGGTTGCTGTCTCGCTCGCTTGTTTAGGTGATTGGAAATGTAGCCTGATGAAGATTGATCACCTTTCTACTGCCCTACCCTTGTATGTGAGCGCAAGGCAAATGCGTAATCAAGCCGGAGCGCCAATCGGGAAGCTCCCTGCCGCTGAGTGACAGCCGCCCGGGCAATCGCAGCGCGGGATGAATGCTACCTCGGCCCGGCCCCATCCCCCACTCCACCCCAGTCCCAGCCGCGCGCGCAGCAGCCTCAGCCGCCAACTCTTCCCAGAAAGCTCCCTCAGGGCAGGCGGCTGGAGTTGCCTCGGCCGAGGCCCCTTGCTCCAGCGGCTGCCCTGGGAGGATGGACACCCTTTCCGACCCTGCTGCGGGTCCCGGAGGCCCACGGCGGCCGTCCGGACGGCAGAAGCCGGCGGTGCTTTTTAATCGCGCGCCTCTCGGGCTGCCTTCGAGAGTGAGACGCCGCCGCCGCTCCTTTCCCTCCCTCAGCCTCCCGCCGTCCCGCGGGAGAAGAGCGCGAGAGGTGTCCCCGTGCCTGACAGGGGATTCCCCCCTCCCCTCCCCTCCTCGAACCACAGCCGGACTTTGGAAAACGGCCTTGCCTTCAGCCTCCTACCTGCGCCGTCGTATAAAGGCGCTTCGCGCGTCCCGTCCGGGCGCCTCCAGGCCGCGGTTAAAGCCCAAAGCTTCCCTTGCCCCCGCCCCCCGCCTTATCCCGCTCTTCCACCCCACCCATCCCCGCAACGCTCTTGGGGCCAGCTCTTCCCGGAGCGACCACCACATGGGGCGTAACCCTCCGTCTGTGAGCGTTGGTGGTAGATGACGCTCTTCCTCCCCCGGCGATTCACAAAGGGTCGCTTCCTCGCCATAAATCGTGGCCTCCTCTCCAAGCCTTGGCAGCGGCGGTTTCTTCCTAAGCGCGGCTCAACAAAAGAAAGTTTGCCCCGTCTAATCTGGGATATTTGGATCGTTTCAGGGTCTGCCTTCCCTAGTTTGTAAGGCCGATTCCTTTTAGCAAACCTACTTTTAAAAGAAAATCTAATCCTGTCTGCACCGAGTTCAGTGGGTAACTGGGTAGCAAAGGACTGAAGAAGGCGCTGACAGACTCCAACCTTTTGTTTGGGGTAAAAAAGACGTTCTATCTGCCACGCAATTTTTTAAAAAATGAACTTTTAAAAAGATCTTCTATTTAGCGGCTGGCAGGGGTTTGAGAGCGGAAAAGTTACCAAATGGTCTTTATATACTTAGAATAGGAATACAAAGATCCCTAATGCGTGCATTGCAAGGGATTCACCTGTTTTCTTTCGAACAGAAAAGTGTAGCATGGGTAGGCTAACTCGGATACTTTGCGTAAGATTTGCATCCCGCAAGCGAACAAGAACTTGGTATCTTTTTAACCTTTATTATTGATCTTATATAGACATTTGTCATTGTCTAGATAACACTGCCTTCTTCGCTATATACCTGCAGTTAAAATGGTGTATGTGGTATGTCTAACGGAATATGCGAGGAGGTACCGACCCTCTAAGAAGTTTGCTAAAGACCATTCTTGTGAATACATATTTAAACAAGCACCTTTCAAAAATCTTCTGTAAAATGAAATTTTATTGTGCAGTAAGTTCCAAAGAAATAAAGCAAACATTATTTTGCTGATGAACATGACCCCAACGTTCATGAAAGATATATACAGTAGTTCTATATGTGTTCATAAAGAGGTCCCACTGACTTCAATGGGGGTGTAATCCCGGGAAAATATGTAGAGGATTGTGACTCGGATTGTTTCTTCCGCGGAGCTCTTATGTTGTCATAAATATTGTTTATACATTCATTCACCAGAGTTCAATTTATTGATGTATATCGGTATATTTGTAATCAATACGTAGACATTTTGTGTACTTTTTTTAACAACACCTTCCACTGAAGAGTTTATCACTTCCCTGCATACACACACACACACACACACACACACACACACACACACAATTGCTCCCTCCTTTCTGTCTCTCTCAGACACTCACACATGTACAACACATGCATGCCATATTGAGGGTATCAGATTCATAAATATTAATAAACACTAATCCTCTACAGATAATTCTTTTTTTTACATACAAAGTTTAACAGAAAAGGAAAACTTCTTAACACACAAAGAGCAAAATGAAAACCACCATCACGATTTTTCTGAATCAACTGGTTGCTAACCGAGCTAACCGAAGGAAGAAAAGGACTTCGGAAAGGGACTTAGTGGCCGCACCATCAAAGTGGAATTCTCTTTTTTTTCCTGGAGAGATACTTTCCTTTGGAGCCCCAATGAAATACGGTAACAGCGTAGGAGGGAAGCACACTGTTTCTTTAACTGCTTCTCAAAGGATCCGGGAGATCTTCTTAGGACCTTTAATAAGGCTTTGGTGAGGTTCTTTTGTTGATCTCTCAAAATCAACTCCTTCTAATTGAAGTTGGAGCTGAAAGCGAGCTAATGTTCAAAGGAAGCGACCGCCAGCTCGGCCAAATTACATTTTTTTCGTTGAGGGGACATTTAATCAAACGGAGGGGAGAGAGAGAGAGAAGGAGAGGGAGAAGAGGAAAAAAGAGGTTTACAAGATCCTTCTATTGGCCACAAAAGTCAGCGACACGGGCACTTCTCCGCGGAACAAAGCCGCCGCAGCCCATTCACAAAGAGAGAGAAGGGGGGAGGGAGGGAGAGGGAGAGAGAGAGAGAGAGCGAGCGAGAGAGATGGGGCAGCAAAGGGGGTCTCTCTGGGGTCATTACCTTGCAAAGTCTAAGCAGGGCTAAGTGCCCTTAGGCGCTTGAGACATTGTCCATTTCGGAGACCATTCTTCCCGGGCGAGGCGGGGTTGGGGGAATGGACCCGAGCTTTGAGAAGGAAGGCCTTTTCTTCTGCAGCCCCATCCTCAGAACAGAATAGCACCCACCCCCTGCACCTCTATACTCCCATCCAGGATTAGAGATCTGGATTAGGTCATCTTCTATCTGCGGCAATACTTTATAGCTACCTATCCGCCGCTGGCATAACCCCTTCCTCTCTTGTGGGAAGAGGGGATGGAGAGGAAAGGCGGGTTGTGGTACAGGGGAGTGTTTCTCGGGCCTTCGGAAATAAGCCTGGCAGTCGCTGGAAGTCTGAGATTTCCACCAAGACTTCCAAGTCGAGAGAAAAGCTCAGATATCAAGTAGTACTAAACCCCTAAGCTTTACACTCTCCCTCCCTCCCCCTTTCTATGTGTGTGTGTGTGTTTCTCCCCCTGTAATAAGAGTATTTGTCTAATCCCAAATTGTAGGCGAATTTCCTTAATGCTCAGCCCATAAAACCCCTGGATTAAGGGCAGCAGAGGGGGGCACGAGCAAGCAGAGCCAGAAAGGAGGCGAGAAGCCAGAGAGCAAAGCACAGGAAAAGTTGGGCCTGTGCGGGAAGGCGCCGAGGACCTGTGTCTCCCTGCCCAAGTGGCAGCCCCTGGAGGAGGAAGCCCATCCCGAGAGGGTTTCGGCCTCCCGCCACTTAGCCTGGCCCCGGTTCCCTGCACGCCGGGCCTAATCGGGCGGCTTCCCCGCTTCTCGAAGGATAACTTTGGGAAGGGGATCTCCAGACGAGACCGCCCGCAGTTTGTAAGAGGCGGGCTCCCACTCCTGGCCCTGGCCGCCCTCGGACCTCCTGGCTAGGGAGGCCCGGGGAAGGGAAGGAAGGTAAGCCCCTGCAGGGCAGGCAGCCCTTCTTTTTCTCTAGGCGCTGCTGATGGGGCCAAGGAGGGAAGGGGAGTGTGTGGAAAGAGAAAGCAAGTGGCCTGGGCGAGAGTAGGAGGTGGTCGGGCGAACGGGAGAAAAGGTGCCTCGGGCCCCAGAGGCTTCCCTCTCCCTCCACCATCGCCTCGCCTCCCAGATTAGCCCGCTTTGACTAAGGCCGTTCCCCAAACTCTGTCCCTTTGCCTCGCCCGCCGGCCGGTTGCGTCTGTCTTTGTGTCGTTAGAAGCGTCGGGTGCAGCTGCAGTGCCTGGAAGGAGGCCGCGCGCGTGTGTGGAAGACACCTAAGGCGTCCCCTCCCAGCAAAGTTGTTTCCCCGAAACCAAGAAGTTTTTTCCCCTCGGTAATTACCAAGAAGCGGGGTGGGGGTGGGAGAGGATTACAAAGGGAAATAATCCCCTTCAAAGCTGGACGAGGAGCTTCGCGAGATGGATCCCCCTCTATTTTGGGGCAGGGAGGGCTGTTAGTCGTTTGAGTCCTCAGTAGGAAGGCAAAAACAAAAACCGAAAACCCACCCTTCCCATTTTCTGCCCAGTTTAATGGGCCGGTTCCCCGCGTAGTTCAACTAAAATCTATGGCTTTCACTTTTTTTCGGGTAAGGCTACTCGAAGGACGGGAATTTCGTAACAGATGCCTGTTCGTTGAATCAAGGGAAGCCGGACCCCTTCAGGGACCAGAAGCGGCGGCCACTCAAATTCCCGGACAGTAAATGTCTAGGGAAATTCTCAGTCATTCCAGTTGTCCCACAGGTGCTTTTTCAAGAGGCAACTGGACTTTGTTTTTCTTGGAAGGCGTTTGGTCTCTCAGCTGAAGAAGCTTCTTGGATCAGAAGCGAGGAAACGCTTTGGGTCTCCCTGCGCTTTTAAGGGGTCCAGGCATTTTGCTGCAACTTTACTGCCCGGTCCCAAAGATGCTTTTTCAAGAGGCAACTGGACTTTGTTTTTCTTTGAAGGCGTTTGGTCTCTCAGCTGAAGAAGCTTCTTGGATCAGAAGCGAAACGTCTTCAAAGAAAAACAAAAAAAAGGTCCTGTTGTCTCTTGAAAAAGCATCTTTGGGACCGGGCAGTAAAGTTGCAGCAAAATGCCTGGACCCCTTAAAAGCGCAGGGAGACCCAAAGCGTTTCCTCCCGACGGCTTCCCCATCCCGTGGGAGTTTATTATCGAAGGCGGCCTTGTCCTTTGCTCTGACCCAAGCTCTGCTTTCTTTCCAAAGTCTGCCAGCGCAACCACTGTGTTCGCCCCACGCGAGAAACTGCCCTGGTCCGCCCAGCCCCATCGGCCGCGGCC